AAATTAATTCCATGAGGCTAGCTTTTTTTACGGATTACTTAATGAGCAAAATACTTCCGAGAGTTGGTGTGAGCTGAAGTTTCCAAAATTTCTCAAAACCACTAAACCATATTTTATTTCATTTTTGAGCAATTATAGAAAAATTAATTCCATGAGGCTAGCTTTTTTTACGGATTACTTAATGAGCAAAATACTTCCGAGAGTTGGTGTGAGCTGAAATTTCCAAAATTTCTCAAAACCACTAAACCATATTTTATTTCATTTTTGAGCAATTATAGAAAAATTAATTCCATGAGGCTAGCTTTTTTTACGGATTACTTAATGAGCAAAATACTTCCGAGAGTTGGTGTGAGCTGAAGTTTCCAAAATTTCTCAAAACCACTAAACCATATTTTATTTCATTTTTGAGCAATTATAGAAAAATTAATTCCATGAGGCTAGCTTTTTTTACGGATTACTTAATGAGCAAAATACTTCCGAGAGTTGGTGTGAGCTGAAGTTTCCAAAATTTCTCAAAACCACTAAACCATATTTTATTTCATTTTTGAGCAATTATAGAAAAATTAATTCCATGAGGCTAGCTTTTTTTACGGATTACTTAATGAGCAAAATACTTCCGAGAGTTGGTGTGAGCTGAAGTTTCCAAAATTTCTCAAAACCACTAAACCATATTTTATTTCATTTTTGAGCAATTATAGAAAAATTAATTCCATGAGGCTAGCTTTTTTTACGGATTACTTAATGAGCAAAATACTTCCGAGAGTTGGTGTGAGCTGAAGTTTCCAAAATTTCTCAAAACCACTAAACCATATTTTATTTCATTTTTGAGCAATTATAGAAAAATTAATTCCATGAGGCTAGCTTTTTTTACGGATTACTTAATGAGCAAAATACTTCCGAGAGTTGGTGTGAGCTGAAGTTTCCAAAATTTCTCAAAACCACTAAACCATATTTTATTTCATTTTTGAGCAATTATAGAAAAATTAATTCCATGAGGCTAGCTTTTTTTACGGATTACTTAATGAGCAAAATACTTCCGAGAGTTGGTGTGAGCTGAAGTTTCCAAAATTTCTCAAAACCACTAAACCATATTTTATTTCATTTTTGAGCAATTATAGAAAAATTAATTCCATGAGGCTAGCTTTTTTTACGGATTACTTAATGAGCAAAATACTTCCGAGTGTTGGTGTGAGCTGAAGTTTCCAAAATTTCTCAAAACCACTAAACCATATTTTATTTCATTTTTGAGCAATTATAGAAAAATTAATTCCATGAGGCTAGCTTTTTTTACGGATTACTTAATGAGCAAAATACTTCCGAGAGTTGGTGTGAGCTGAAGTTTCCAAAATTTCTCAAAACCACTAAACCATATTTTATTTCATTTTTGAGCAATTATAGAAAAATTAATTCCATGAGGCTAGCTTTTTTTACGGATTACTTAATGAGCAAAATACTTCCAAGAGTTGGTGTGAGCTGAAGTTTCCAAAATTTCTCAAAACCACTAAACCATATTTTATTTCATTTTTGAGCAATTATAGAAAAATTAATTCCATGAGGCTAGCTTTTTTTACGGATTACTTAATGAGCAAAATACTTACGAGAGTTGGTGTGAGCTGAAGTTTCCAAAGTTTCTCAAAACCACTAAACCATATTTTACTTCATTTTTGAGCAATTATAGAAAAATTAATTTCATGAGGCTAGCTTTTTTTACGGATTACTTAATGAGCAAAATACTTCCGAGAGTTGGTGTGAGCTGAAGTTTCCAAAATTTCTCAAAACCACTAAACCATATTTTATTTCATTTTTGAGCAATTATAGAAAAATTAATTCCATGAGGCTAGCTTTTTTTACGGATTACTTAATGAGCAAAATACTTCCGAGTGTTGGTGTGAGCTGAAGTTTCCAAAATTTCTCAAAACCACTAAACCATATTTTATTTCATTTTTGAGCAATTATAGAAAAATTAATTCCATGAGGCTAGCTTTTTTTACGGATTACTTAATGAGCAAAATACTTCCGAGTGTTGGTGTGAGCTGAAGTTTCCAAAATTTCTCAAAACCACTAAACCATATTTTATTTCATTTTTGAGCAATTATAGAAAAATTAATTCCATGAGGCTAGCTTTTTTTACGGATTACTTAATGAGCAAAATACTTCCGAGAGTTGGTGTGAGCTGAAGTTTCCAAAATTTCTCAAAACCACTAAACCATATTTTATTTCATTTTTGAGCAATTATAGAAAAATTAATTCCATGAGGCTAGCTTTTTTTACGGATTACTTAATGAGCAAAATACTTCCGAGAGTTGGTGTGAGCTGAAGTTTCCAAAATTTCTCAAAACCACTAAACCATATTTTATTTCATTTTTGAGCAATTATAGAAAAATTAATTCCATGAGGCTAGCTTTTTTTACGGATTACTTAATGAGCAAAATACTTCCGAGAGTTGGTGTGAGCTGAAGTTTCCAAAATTTCTCAAAACCACTAAACCATATTTTATTTCATTTTTGAGCAATTATAGAAAAATTAATTCCATGAGGCTAGCTTTTTTTACGGATTACTTAATGAGCAAAATAATTCCGAGAGTTGGTGTGAGCTGAAGTTTCCAAAATTTCTCAAAACCACTAAACCATATTTTATTTCATTTTTGAGCAATTATAGAAAAATTAATTCCATGAGGCTAGCTTTTTTTACGGATTACTTAATGAGCAAAATACTTCCGAGAGTTGGTGTGAGCTGAAGTTTCCAAAATTTCTCAAAACCACTAAACCATATTTTATTTCATTTTTAAGCAATTATAGAAAAATTAATTCCATGAGGCTAGCTTTTTTTACGGATTACTTAATGAGCAAAATACTTCCGAGAGTTGGTGTGAGCTGAAGTTTCCAAAATTTCTCAAAACCACTAAACCATATTTTATTTCATTTTTGAGCAATTATAGAAAAATTAATTCCATGAGGCTAGCTTTTTTTACGGATTACTTAATGAGCAAAATACTTCCGAGTGTTGGTGTGAGCTGAAGTTTCCAAAATTTCTCAAAACCACTAAACCATATGTTATTTCATTTTTCAGTAATTATAGAAAAATTAATTCCATGAGGCTAGCTTTTTTTACGGATTACTTAATGAGCAAAATACTTCCGAGAGTTGGTGTGAGCTGAAGTTTCCAAAATTTCTCAAAACCACTAAACCATATTTTATTTCATTATTGAGCAATTATAGAAAAATTAATTCCATGAGGCTAGCTTTTTTTACGGATTACTTAATGAGCAAAATACTTCCGAGAGTTGGTGTGAGCTGAAGTTTCCAAAATTTCTCAAAACCACTAAACCATATTTTATTTCATTTTTGAGCAATTATAGAAAAATTAATTCCATGAGGCTAGCTTTTTTTACGGATTACTTAATGAGCAAAATACTTCCGAGAGTTGGTGTGAGCTGAAGTTTCCAAAATTTCTCAAAACCACTAAACCATATTTTATTTCATTTTTGAGCAATTATAGAAGAATTAATTCCATGAGGCTAGCTATTTTTACGGATTACTTAATGAGCAAAATACTTCCGAGAGTTGGTGTGAGCTGAAGTTTCCAAAATTTCTCAAAACCACTAAACCATATTTTATTTCTTTTTTGAGCAATTATAGAAAAATTAATTCCATGAGGCTAGCTTTTTTTACGGATTAATTAATGAGCAAAATACTTCCGAGAGTTGGTGTGAGCTGAAGTTTCCAAAATTTCTCAAAACCACTAAACCATATTTTATTTCATTTTTGAGCAATTATAGAAAAATTATTTCCATGAGGCTAGCTTTTTTTACGGATTACTTAATGAGCAAAATACTTCCGAGTGTTGGTGTGAGCTGAAGTTTCCAAAATTTCTCAAAACCACTAAACCATATTTTATTTCATTTTTGAGCAATTATAGAAAAATTAATTCCATGAGGCTAGCTTTTTTTACGGATTACTTAATGAGCAAAATACTTCCGAGAGTTGGTGTGAGCTGAAGTTTCCAAAATTTCTCAAAACCACTAAACCATATTTTATTTAATTTTTGAGCAATTATAGAAAAATTAATTCCATGAGGCTAGCTTTTTTTACGGATTACTTAATGAGCAAAATACTTCCGAGAGTTGGTGTGAGCTGAAGTTTCCAAAATTTCTCAAAACCACTAAACCATATTTTATTTCATTTTTGAGCAATTATAGAAAAATTAATTCCATGAGGCTAGCTTTTTTTACGGATTACTTAATGAGCAAAATACTTCCGAGTGTTGGTGTGAGCTGAAGTTTCCAAAATTTCTCAAAACCACTAAACCATATTTTATTTCATTTTTGAGCAATTATAGAAAAATTAATTCCATGAGGCTAGCTTTTTTTACGGATTACTTAATGAGCAAAATACTTCCGAGAGTTGGTGTGAGCTGAAGTTTCCAAAATTTCTCAAAACCACTAAACCATATTTTATTTCATTTTTGAGCAATTATAGAAAAATTAATTCCATGAGGCTAGCTTTTTTTACGGATTACTTAATGAGCAAAATACTTCCGAGAGTTGGTGTGAGCTGAAGTTTCCAAAATTTCTCAAAACCACTAAACCATATTTTATTTCATTTTTGAGCAACTATAGAAAAATTAATTCCATGAGGCTAGCTTTTTTTACGGATTACTTAATGAGCAAAATACTTCCGAGAGTTGGTGTGAGCTGAAGTTTCCAAAATTTCTCAAAACCACTAAACCATATTTTATTTCATTTTTGAGCAATTATAGAAAAATTAATTCCATGAGGCTAGCTTTTTTTACGGATTACTTAATGAGCAAAATACTTCCGAGAGTTGGTGTGAGCTGAAGTTTCCAAAATTTCTCAAAACCACTAAACCATATTTTATTTCATTTTTGAGCAATTATAGAAAAATTAATTCCATGAGGCTAGCTTTTTTTACGGATTACTTAATGAGCAAAATACTTCCAAGTGCTGGTGTGAGCTGAGACGCGGTATAAACATTACTTACCCCCTCTGATCGATACACCTGTCTGCGATCAGTTTGGCCCACTTCAGTATGGAGTGTCCATTGGCACTGATGGCCTTGGCCGTGTGCACAAAGTCCTCCTTCGTCTACAATTATAACGAAACTATTTAGTATCAAACCCAATATAATGGCGATATTTAAAAAACCTGAAATTCTAGTTGATTAAAATTTTGAAGTTTCAGGCTTTTTTCATACATTTTGAATTTTTGGGAATTTTCGCGCGACCATAAAAGATAACTTCTTTCTGAAAAAATTAGCGCTTTCTACGTAAAAAAAAATTCAGAGAAAGTTCATCCGCTCTTTTTGATCTATTTTTTCTGTTTAATTTTCTTAAGTTTTCTATACTTATTATATTTCATCAGTGTAATTTGCCCTGACCTTGAGTGGGGGCTGGTATAATTTGCCCTGACCTTGAGTGGGGGCTGGTATAATTTGCCCTGACCTTGAGTGGGGGCTGGTATAATTTGCCCTGACCTTGAGTGGGGGCTGGTATAATTTGCCCTGACCTTGAGTGGGGGCTGGTATAATTTGCCCTGACCTTGAGTGGGGGCTGGTATAATTTGCCCTGACCTTGAGTGGGGGCTGGTATAATTTGCCCTGACCTTGAGTGGGGGCTGGTATAATTTGCCCTGACCTTGAGTGGGGGCTGGTATAATTTGCCCTGACCTTGAGTGGGGGCTGGTGTTGAGTGAACTCTGCGAGGTCGTGCATCTGCTGAGCCAGCTTCCTGGCAGCCGAGATCATGGCATTGCTCACACTCTCTGTCCCTTCACAGTCCTCTAGTCCCACGAACTGCTCCACTTGTTTCTTCAGACCATCCGCCGCTTGCTAGAATAATTTCGCGCAGCTACAAATCTTGCTATGCGCGCATAACGCTAGATTCACCTTTTTTTGCTTGAGGCGCTTGAAAACAGACCGTAAGGTCTAATAGCGTCCTCCCAATCTTTTGTCAGCCAATAAGTTTGCTTATTCTTGTTACATATGAAATCAGTAGATTACTGATAGTTCGAATTCAGAACCAAGTTAACATCCTCACTCTAAACGGATATGGGGGGAGGGGAGGATGTTAACTTGGTCCAAATCTATGACGTCATCATTATGTCTACCAAAGTTCTCTATTAGTTCAGCGCGTCTCGATTTTTAGAGGAGTGTTAACTTATTTTCTTTTTTAACCTTTTAGCGTTAAATTTAAAGTCTTTGAAGATATCGATGATTAATGTGTTTAAAATCAAAAATAAATATAAAAAGCAGAATCGTGTTTTTTGGTGACAAATTCATTTCAGGCAACAGTTTTTTCATTACAATCAAAATTCAATTCTATAAAAAAATTTTATTAATTCAATAGTTTTAAAAGCTTAACTTAAAAGATCGCCATGTCAAAATTAAGTTTAAAAAAGATAGTTCTAATTTATTTAAAGTTTCTCAATCTCGCTGTGTGAGTATGCATGATTTGAAACCTACTTGTCCATGAATAATGTTTTGAGCAATTTTACCAATATTGTCTGAGTGTTTCTTCTGGACAACATAGTCGACCTCCTTCTAACTCTGTTCTTGTACTGTGGTCCATTCTCCCCTTCCCCCTCCTGTTCGCCCTCCTCTCCTAATTGGTCCATTCCAGCCTCCTGACTGGCTATGTTGGACGTTTCCATGATGTCGGCCAAGTTCTCTTTCAATTCATTGCGTCTCAATTTCTGGATTTCCGACTCACTGACAAAAAAATTACAGTATGTTAAAAATTCCAGAAAAACACCAATATAATTTCATTTCAAGCATTCATACCAAGCTATATTTCTGTAAACGTTCTAGAAAGATAAAAATTTAAAACATATCCAACTGACTGTTGGAAAACAGTAATGAACACAAGAAAACTGAAAAAAAAAAACTTTTCGATTTCGTAGAAAAAAATAGACGGCCTTGAAGCTCTTTGAATTTGTAAAACAGTTTTTGATTATACTTTTTTTGATTGAATTAATCTAGTTAGAGAAATTAATATCAAGTGGTAACACTTTTTTTTTCGCTTTGAAATCTTAAAGCTAATTTCCATTATCGAAACTAGAAGTCGATCACATTTTTCGTGACCTTTACACTTTCGATGTTCGATAGTGGAGTTTGCCTTCCTTTTAACAAAGTAAATGAAATGAACTTAATAAGAAACCACAAGGTAAACCGCAATAAAAAAACTGAGCGTTAACAAATTTTAAGACTTTTTCTTAGAAAAAAAAACACAAAAAAACCAAGACATATATAAGAGTACTCATTACGTTCATTACTTTTAAGCGCTTGATGCGCAAATAACTATTGTTTAAAATTGTATCTGGGGTTTTTAATTTAATTTTACCTGGTTTTACCTGGGTCAATTAAATTAACCTGGGTTTTTCAGCAGGCGTCAGTTTAAAGAATGGGTTGTTGTTGGCCGAGTTGAGCGTACGTTGAGTGCCTTCTTGAACTTCTCTCGGGATCTCATCTTCGGAAATCTCAGACTGCTTTATCTTTTTCTGGTTAATTCCTTCTCCTCTGAGACGAGCCACGATGTCTTAAAAGAAAAAATTATATTAAGAAGTTTCATGACAAGCTCCTTTTACTTATGTAGTTGGGCGGGCAGCAGGAATTCATATCAATTGTCTTATTTAAATATATATTTATCTAAAATTAGAATCTAAAAATTGATGATAATTTTCGAAAAACTTTCAATTTTTCGTTTAAACATTTCGATAACTTTTGCCGAAGTGAGTTATAAAAGCGATACTCACTTATTAGCATTAGGCGTATATCAAATGATGTCATTTGTAGCGTAAAACCAACTTTGAACAAAAGAGGCCGATTTAATCAAGTGGCCCTTGTAAGAGATTGATCAATTAATCATTCATCAATAAAAATTTTCAGCTCGAGAGAAAATTTGCAAAACTAAATTCATGGCATTACGGCAGCACATTTTTTCAGAAAAGTCCTGATTTTTTTTTGCATTATTTGTCAAAATGTTTGCCCAATTCGAAATTTAGATATTTGAACGAAATTTTAAGATGATGATCTGATAAGATAGATTGATCACAGAAAAAGCAAAACGTAGCAAAAATGACCATTAAATAAAAACTGTCACTAAAAGGTAATTGCATATAAAAATCAGAAAAAATTTTAACATGTTCATCACTTTCTTTCCAAATTGGTTAAATTTTATCAAAACAGCCACGACGGAACAATTTAAAAATTTTAATCATAAATTCATGGATTTGTTGGATAACAGAGAAGTTATAGTTTTTTGAAGATCTAAGTAACGGGGGTTTTGTTAACTTTAAAATGTTTCTCTTTAGTGTAGAATCATAAAAACAGAAAAATTTCAAGTGCAAAACAGTCTGCGAAAACAGGCTCTTGCAGCCCAATGGCTTCCTCCAAATCTATATTTTTGCATACGAGTAAATAAGAACCCTGTGATTATAATGGTAACATTAGGTTGGAATCAATTTATTATATTATTGTTATGATTTTCTTACAGTATGAAAAAAACTGAGACGCGTTGAAGTCTGAGTCATAAGCATGCAGGCAACATCCGCTATCGTATTATAGTTTTTTTCTAGAATTTTCTAAAAATTGGCTATAATGATTTGCTCTTCTTTTTCAACTTACTGTCTTATTTTATAAAATGGTGATCTTAAAATCAAGCAATGTCTGACCGGAATTTAGTAATCACTTTGCTGAAAGCGTTTCTCATTTTATTTCAAAATTTGGTTGATAGCATAGAAAAATCATCGCCAAAATTTCAACGTCTTCGTATTCTGTCTAGCATGGCCTACGGCCCAATTGCAGATTAACGATTAACAAAACAGGCCTTATCACACGCTGAAACTTGATATAACGTGTTGCAATCTTGCCAACAGAGGGTAGGACTTTAAACAAAATTTAGAGCCGGCGACCGTAAACCAAAGCTCTCTATGTTGTGATTTGTTTTTAGTATGTCATAATGACCTTCGGTATTTTAATTAATACCAGTTTAGTTACGACCATTGGTCGAGATCAACGCAAGTCAGTTGTCCTTTTAACGTTCTTAATTCAACTACTTCCTTTTATTCTCTTTTATCTATTAAGCTTATGTACATTTAGTGTACATACTGAACATACCATTTTAATAGGTTATTCATAGATTCATAGTATTACAACACTTTATTATGGCGCAGTCAAATGATTCGAACGTGCGTGGAATTCCACCTTTTTGGCCTAATCACACCCTAGAACCACCACATGCCTGGACCCAATGGAGCGACCAATTTCAATTGGCGATCATCGCGAAAGAAAATCTGGATTTGGAAAGCCTACATGGACCCGAAATACCGGAGACGCAAATTCCAATTTTAGAACAGGCGACAAGCAGTGAGTCGGACGCGGAAAAAGCCAACAGAGAGAATAGGAACAAAAGCACAATGAAACAGTACGAATCCGCAGAAGAGAAACGAATCAATGAAGAGAAAAGAAAATTCAACGGAATGAGAAGAACGGAGGCGGACAAGAAACTGCGATCAATCTTATTTTTAGCGCTTGGTAGCGAAGGAAAAAGAGTTTTTACCCAAAAGAACCCGAGAGTCAAGATTTTAGCAATATCGTTCTCTGAGTTCTGGACACTACTTGACGCAGCATTTAACAAACCGCCCAATACTACGTTCGAGAGATATAAATTACTGAATCGAAAGCAAAAAGATCGTGAATCTTACGAACAATTTTGGGGAGCATTGACGGACCTAGCTAGCACGTGCAATATAAAGGAGACAGACGAAGCAGAGTGGATAAGGGATATCTTCATTATTTGCAATATGAAGAACACAGACACCCAGAGGAAGCTACTTTCAGCTACCATAAGCCCGTCGGAAGCTCTTAACCAAGCACTAATCGATGAAAAGGGATATTTTAACCACCAGAAATTGACAAATATGTCGCGGTCATCGACCAACGGGACAATTTTTAAATCTTTTAGTAACCACAATCATATCAAAAAGGAACCAAGCTTAAACATCGAAAGGAGTAACTTGTGCATGAAATGCGGAAATACATTTACAAAAGGGCACTTAAATGTTTGCCCAGCGAAGGACATAATCTGTAAAAACTGCAATTTTAAAGGACACTTCGCTAAATTATGTAAATCACGCAACAAGAGACCAACTGTAAATAATGTATCAAATAATTTCGTAAATACTGAGAATTGTACATACACACCTCTGGAAAATTCGAATATGGAAGAAAGAGAATCATGCGATGTGATAAATGCATGGAATGAGTACGGACAGAGTGACGATGACGACTTCTCGGTGTTGAGTGTCAGAACTATTTACGACAATAATGGTCTTGAAACAAAGAAACTCCTGAACCTAGGAATCGGCTGGGATTCGATTGTAAATATGAACATACCGGTAGATTCAGCAAGCCCGGTGAGCTTTTTAAAACAGAATGTCCTACACGAAATTAAACTAAGATACCCAAACCTCAAGATACACCCAGTGGAGAAAAGAATAAAAGAACTATACTGCGGATTCACGAACGATACGATCAATATATTGGGAAAAATAATTGTCAGAACACAGTCCAATGGGTGGATCAGCGACGAAACACCTTTCTTCATAACCGGCGGACACGAACGTAATATACTGGGAAACGACAACTTACCCAAACTGGGCATAGAAATTTCACAGAGGAAATGTCCCCAACCAATCTGTATGGTCAATCAACCTACACCCAAGAGTGAGTACAAAAACTTACCCCCATTTTCAGACAACATTTTTAACGAGTTTAAGAACCTATTTACTAGAGTGGGAAAAATACCCAACGATCGGAAGGTAACCCATTTTCATACACCTTTTAAACCAATACAGTCTAAAGGGAGAAGAGTACCACTCCACCTACTCGCGGCAGTGAACGAAGAGTTAAGAAGAATGGAAAAAGAAGGGCACATAATAAAATTAGAGAAATGCGACGAAGATTGTTTCATCAGTCCAATTGTAATCACTCGGAAAAAGGACAACTGACTTGCGTTGATCTCGACCAATGGTCGTAACTAAACTGGTATTAATTAAAATACCGAAGGTTATAAATTAATTTTCAAACTTTGCGAGAACTCGATTTCCTCAAGTCTTGCGAGTTGTCTTTTGTTGCGAGTTGTCTTTTGTTGAGAGTTGTATAAGAGGAAGTCTTTGTTGAGGAGCAAGTCTATGGAAAACGGAGGTATTAGTTGAGTAGGCTAGAAAGAGTGAAGCTAGAATAATTTCCTGTCTTGCCTGACCCGGAATCGAACTGATTTAGAAGGTGTTTTAGTAAAATATAGCTTGGCTCTTTTCCAGTTCCCCCCTTCAAATTCAATTTTGAAAAGCTTATTTAACGTTGTCATAAATGCAATGAATTTTGGCGTTGTGAACAAATCGACAACTGTGAACACATTTGTTCTTCATACTTTACAGTAACATCATGCATTTAGCCGTAATAACACGTAAAACAAACATAAAAATCGGTATTTTGAAAAGGGGGACTGGAAAAGAGCCTATAGCTTAAGCCTTACTGTCTGATTGATCCTCGGACAGTCCAGGTGCTGTTTGGGCTAAGTTGGACAGGTAAAGAGCAGACACTGCCCACTCTCGTCTCAGCTGACGTAGCAGATTCTTCTGTGCACCCTCCTCCCCATTTTCTACAAAAAGTTATTACAAAAGTATAAATTATTTCTCATTTATAATAGTTGTGATTCATGAAAATTGTAGATTTTGGCATGCATTCGTTATGATTATTTTCAACGCAAGTTAGAACCAGAAAATTGTTTTTCGGCTATAAAAAAGTTTGTTTTTGTGGGTAAAACTTTATTTTCTGGAAAAATTATGCTTGCTGGTAAATGAAATTTTTTCTGCAGAAAATTCCCGCTGTTTGAAGAAAGTTTCCAGTCCCAATTATATTTAAAAAAAGAAGAAAAAATTACTTTCCCTGATTTCAAATAATGTCATTTCTCCACGAAAAATGACCAAACCTGTTCCAATTGCGAGCTCTCTACTCTTTTCAATTATGGCCGCGGTTATGTGTCCCAGATTGCCCATGGCTTTCATGGCTTTCTTCTTCAGTTCAGAGTCGGGACAGTTTTTGAAGGCGTCATTGACGAGTTTTTTCAGCTGTGCAGTGTCTGCGTGTAATCTGTCCGCGTTGCTTTGCAAGTCATTCCCGGAGCTAGCAGCTGAGCTTAATTTTGAGTCCGGAATTCCTGAAAATCATTTAATCAGTTTCATATTATTGTTTATAAATTAAAATCTAAAATATATGCATTGAAATAGACACCAAAGAGGTTACTAAATTTCGAATAAGATTTCGTATAAAATTTAGAATCCAACAAAATGCAAACTTTGAATGAGTTTGAAAAAAAAGCATAACAGCAACGGTCGACGAATTATAATCAAACCTACTATTTTGAGAAACAAAGTCAAAAAAAGCTCATTTTTACCCAATGATTTTGAAGTTTGTTGAGTGATGGCAGTTGTGATCAGTTTGTCCACCGGAAAGGAAACTGAGCCACATTCTGTTTCCACCATTTGTTCAAGGTCACGCAACTGAAACCATATTTTTCTTTAATACCGATTATGCCATGGCCCAATGCACTGGAATTGTGTGGAAACATTAATGGTTTTATGGCCAACGGTGTGATTTAAAGTGGGGGAAGGACTAAAAAAGATAAGACATAGATGCCCATAACCCCCCAGCTGGAAATGCATCTGCTGGGAACCACCAAAACTGTCCATTTGTAGAATTATAAATTTACTGCAACAATTTTGGTAGAACAAAGAGTAAAAAATGTTTATTAGTTTGCCGTTAATGTGCGTGCTTTCTTCAAAAAAGCGCAATTTTAAAACCCAAACCCCGATTGAAAAAGGTTTCACACGATACACTTCACTTGGGGTTATCTTTGAGGTGGTCAAAATTGGCTAAAAAACACCCTTCGCTGTAGTTCCTTCTCACTGTTTGGCGCAGGGTTCGTCCTTCTGCAGATTTTTAGTCAAACTATTTTCGACCGATTTGGATATGTTGCCGGTTTCGTCATAATTCGAAAAAAAAAACAATTTAAGTAACCTCCTTTAAGAAAGCACAAAAGATGAAAAATTACTCTTTTCGAAACCACGCAAAATTAGGTCAGCAAGCCAATAAAACATAAGCCAAAACTTTTTACATCAATTACACTTTAAATGAACAAAAAAAACAAAAAAATGTTACTAAAGGAAACTAAAGGAGAAAAAAGAGATAAGCAAAACAGAAGGAAAAATTCAGATTCCACAGTTTTCAAGACTAATTCAAATATAAAATCAATTACCAAAGCTGCTTACTGCAGAAAAATTTATCACGTGGAAAATAAGGCGACGAAACATCAGCGGAAAAAAATGAGCCGACAATTTCTTCCAGTGGAAAATTTCCTGTTTTTTTTCAGCGGAAATGACGCAAAAGAAAGTCACTCAGCCGATAAAACAAGACAAAACTTTAAAATTCAGAAACTTCAGAAACGAACAAAGATCACAAGGAAATTGAAAAAAAAAACTAAGGAAAAAAAACAAAACAAAAGGAAAATTTTAGCGTTAGGGAAATACACTTGTCAAGAAAAAATCAAAACAAAACAAGAAAAGTTGCTCAAAGCAGAAACAATTCCGTTATGTGGAAATTAAGGCGACGCAACAGAGTTAGAAAAACAATAAGCCGACATTTTAATTTATCGGAAATTTTCCTGTTTGGGAAGAAAAACAATTCTTGGCCAGTTTCAAACCTGAGATTTTTGAAGTTTTAGGACTAGTTGTTACCTCTACACCAAAAGGGACGGAAAAGCTAAGAAGTTTGATTTTTTATAAGCCAGGGTATCAAACGACTCAAGTGATTCTGTTCAGCAAGTTGTAAGCCCGAAACAAATTCAATTACAATTTGATAACGCTTGCAAATTGCAGGCATAATTACAATTGGCAATGAAACAGTGCATAGCTAACTGTTTTTTCTACTCTATCCAAAAAATCAAACCTCCCAAAACAACAAAAAGTCGAAAACTTAAGACTATTTTAGCTATACCGCAAATTTTATAAAATTTTGCAAGTGCATTTTTCCAAAATCTTTGGTTATCCGCAGTGGAATTTAATGAAAATTATTCAATTATAATTTTAAAAAGATTCATCTGTCTCTCTAGAATTTGAAAACTATCAAGTATAAACGATCGAAAATGAATTATTATGAAACAATTTGATTAAACGACAAATTTTACTTGAAATTGGTTTTAATCGATTAATTTCAATTTAATTTCAAATTTCTTTCGAGAAAAAATAATTCCTTTTTTGACGATTTTAATGGACTTACATATAATTTTAAACTGTTTTCGTGATCCAATTTCCACCCCGATAGTCTATTTATCCTTGAGCTATTTATTTTTTATGTCTAATTCAATATCACATATTTTTTAAATTGAATCGCGTTTTTTCAAAGAATTGCAGTTTCAAAGAATCATTTAACAAGAAAACAATCGAAAAAAAACCTAGGCGGAAAAAAACGAAATATCAGAAAAACTAAAACCAGGAAGATCTAACGATGGTTTGTTCAATTTTGTGTGTTTCCGATTTCCTCTTTTTTAGGAGTAACGCCAATGAAAATGTAATCCTAAAAATGTTAGAACAAAAAAAAACGTAGAAAATTAAAATTGCAGTGTTACTTGAAAGTCCCATTGTCTCAACTGGATCATACGTTTTCTTCCCGCCTCTATTGTTAAAAACTTAACAATTTTCAAGAATAAGTCAAAAAGTTACAAAAAAAATTGCTCACATCACAAAAAAACTATTCCGATTTGATAACGCTTGCTAATTGCAGGCATAATTATAATTGGTAATTCAATAATAATTGGCAAATTTTATATTTTACACTATACAAAAAATTGAAACATCCCCAGAACTAACATATGTCAATATACTTACTTTAACTATTTTAGCTATACCAAAAGTTTTATTAAATCTTGCAGACTTCATTATTGGTCGCCAACCTCACAATGTACCCCAACTTAACCCCAACGCCTAGGGAATCTCCCACGGTTACCTGGTTCCACCCCTCCGAAATGACGATGGGAGGGAGACGGCATGCGCGGGAAAGGGGGAAGGGTGATAAATTGAGGAGGTACGGGAGGTTGTTTAACATGGGGACGAGTGTTTTTTTTCTGGTTTAAGTTTTGAAAAAAGTACAATATTTTACAAGAAAATGATAGATTTTCATGGATTGGATTTACGAAAAACATATATTTTGAAAACAAAAATCTTTTTTAATCGATTATAATAGATTATAAGTGATTTTCTTACGATGATTAGAAAACCATTACGTTGTCTAATTCGCTACAATAATCAATTAACAAGAAAATAATTGAAATAAACCTAACCAGAAAAAAAACAAAAGATAAAAAACTAAAACCAGATAGATCTGCCGATGGTTCATTCAATTTCGTGTGCGTTCGACTTCGTTTTTGTAATGAGTTAAGCCGATGAAGGCGTTCGAAAAATATGCGTTCGAAAAATGACAGAACAAAAAAGTAGGAAACAAAAATTGCAGTCTTACTTGAAAAGCCCATTGTCTCAATTTGATCATCGCGTTTTCTTTCCGCCTCTCATTTTCCGACTTCTCCGAGTTTAGATCAGCTGACTGCAGCTGACTCATCCTTTTCAGTAACTCCTGTGATGTTGTTTGAAACTCCTCGGTCGCTTTAGAGAACGACATTTGGACTTCAGGGTTTTCAAGGCTAAAAATATTTAAATTAGAATTCTTGCAACAATAGTGAATCTAACTTTTCTACATTTTAGTCTTTTCTACAATTTTAGGTCAGTACCTTAAAACTGACCTAGAGGAGGGGGGAGGAGGGGGAGGGGGGAAGTTTTTGATACCTGAGGCCTGTCAAGCTGGCCAGTTTGAGCTGAGTGGTTGAAATGGCCTGAAGCGACGGCATCTTTTCGTTCAAAAACGACACATCCCCTTTTGTGATTGCATTTGAGATGGAAGTCAGGTCAGATATCGTTTGTGCAGACAGCAGATTGTCTATTTGGTCGAAACAGCAATTGGCTCTCACGGCCCAGAGGGCCCCTTGTTCCTCAGATATATCCAACTTCGCATCTTCTAAATACCGAATTTCAATTTTGTTTTTTTTTTCTGAGCAAATATAAGAATTGAGTCGTGGCCAAAATGGTCGCTCACGTCGCAATTGTTCCCATATACTAGCTTGATTTCGATTTGCAGAAAACGACTTCACTTTTAAACGTAAGATTCTAAAGTTGGATTTGGGTTTTTCACTGTAAAAACGAATTTTGATCTACATCGTAGAATGTTATCAACTGCATCATTTTGCAAGTTCTGCAAAACGAAATTAGGCCAATTGGAACGGCAATACAAACCTATTGCGTTAGTAGCCGACAGCATCAGCTGAGCTGATCTTGCCAGCTTAGCCGAATCGGGCTCCTTGCTCCCATCCAGGTTATGACTTCCACCTGGTTTTAAATCCAAAATATCCTCATCCTCAGAGTTCGGCATCGATCGTGCAGCTAGCGCGGCAATTTCATTCGTAATTCGTCTCAAATCTTCTCGCGCAAACGCGAACTCGGCAACATTTTTGTCGTCCAACGCTCGTTTAAGTCGTGTCGGAGGTCCACGCCAGGGTCCCTGGATGTCGCCGACTGTCTTATTTGAGACCATACTATCTTCCTAAAAAGTAATTAATTTCATATATGTGTGATCTAAAAAATACATGACCAGTAGCGTGCTGAGAAGGAGGGGGCGGGGAGAGAGGGCGAGGGGCGGGGGGATAGTTTTTCAATTCTGGTTGCCAAATTTTTCCGAAGGGTTCCCCCTTTGATGTAATTTACGACATCCGTTTTTGGCTGACCAGCCTCAAATTTTTTCGAAAGGCGCTTTTGGCACCAATGTAACTAATTTTGAGTCAGGATCGCGCGCCGAAAAAACGCAATTATTGGTCAAAATTACCAGAAAGTGCCTAAAAATGTCTTTTTTGACCTGTTTGTTTTTCAAAATTTTGCTTTCGGCGCAAAATTTTGGCCAAAACGCTGTCTTTATAGTGATTTAGGAGAGCTCAGAAAATCACTTTGGTCGACCTAAAAAAAGTCCACAAATTTTCCCCCCAACCCTCGAGAAAATCCTTGATCCGCCCCTGGCCGCGAGGGAATAAAGTTTTTGGCTCATTGGAAAAAATTGATATGGATTTAGCACCACAACGGCGCCCATGTTAAACTAAAATTGCCGGCCCTCTAAGCCTGCAAAAAACAACAACGCAATCTCCCCTAAACGTTAGATGCTAAAATTTGGCTTTTTTACAATTTGCGGAGAGCTGCGCACATGGGTTAGTTCTGCCAAAGGTGTGAAAACTATCTGATGTTTTTTTCCAAACACTAGATGAGTATCTGATTCGACTGCTAAAAAAGGAAACGCATGTAAATCTTTAAAATAACAGAACCTGATTTTGTAGTTTTTGCAGAACACGTTCAATCTCTTCGCATCTTCTGCTGTCAGTGAGGTCAACTTCAGCCGCCAGTTGGTTTAATTTGTTCACCTGTGCCTCGTATTCTTCTGCCTCTTTTTTCAGTTTCCTTGGAAAACAACGCAAAAAATAGAACTGTTTTGTTGCAAAAAAAAACTGGAAAAAAATCAAGCTCTATATCTACACTTGACAGCAAACAGCAATTTTTTATATAATTTCTAGTAAAAAATGAGTTTAACCAGTTGGTAATAACATAAAGTCGTCCAAAAGTTCATGATTGAACATTTGATTTTGATATGCAACGCAGACCTGAAACCATGTTACCGAGTCTGGGTAAAATTTAAACACACAACAAAAACTTTATCAATTTCTAACAATTTTTAAACTTTTTTGATTACCGCTTGTATTCACAGCCATCTGTCTAGCAGAAAATTTTTTCTTCAAAAACTAATTCGCATTTTTCATTTACCGCTTCCTGAATTAAGGTCGATTTGTTTTCTTTACTCAAAATTTTACCTAGCAAAAACAATATTTCAAGGAAATGTAACTCCTTTACAAAATAGATTGTTAATTTTGGTTTTTTCATGCCCTCAACTTTTCTTTTGACGCAAATAATTTTAAAACGTTGTTTGATTTTTAGTTCAGATGATGTTTCTATTTACTTTCGCTTGTTGACAAAGAAGCCAAAACTTCGTAATGTAAATTGGGTTTCTTATCAACTTTGAATGCTCTTAGTAGCTGATTTTCAACTAAAAATTTTTTCATTCTGTAATAGATTTTACTCGACATTTTAATTTCACTTTTATGATCTTTAAAGAAAATCTAATTTTTTTAAGATAGCATTTTAGTTTCTTTTTACGTCTGACTTTCTGTTGCTCTTTTGAGGTATTATGATGGTTTTTTGTTTATCTAACAATTGAAAGAAGCTTGTTTTTTTTGAAACCATCGTACAATGTTGACCAAAGCTTTCTGGTGTCTACCGGTTATTCCACTGTATCCAGCTGTTGTTTTTATGAAATCAGATTATTTACACATTTCTATCCACTTCAAAATCGTTTATGTAAACCGTGAAGAAAAAAAAGTGGACCTAATACGAACCCATGTGGCTTTTCATAATGTACAAATCTGTTTGACTCTCTTTTTGCTCATAATGCTAATTGAAAATTCTAAGTTCAAGACAAATTCGGATATTCGTAGGAAATACGAAAAAAGTCAGAACAAAAAAATTGTTTGGGTTAGATTGTGAACATCATTTTTCTGCAAATTAGGGTTCAATTGTGGATCGAAAGCAGCTTTTTCTGTATAATAATGATACAGCACAAAAAAGGGACAATCAGCTGTCCATCTCTACGCAGATGCCACGAAAGTGAACAAAATTTGCATCACTTTTCTAGCTGTTATATAACTGTTACATAACTATTATTTAAAAATTACGCATTTATGGCTGGCTTCTATATTAGCTGGTTGAAACATCGGCTGGTTTAAATACCACCAGTTGCCACAACAAATTTATCCTTGCCTCAACAAATTTTTTTCCGACGGGTTATGATTTCCTCAAAAAACCCAAGGGTTATTTTGAATTTTTTTCGTATATAAAACCAAATTCCATAACTTTATATTCAAAAACGTTGCTTGAGTTTTCTCGTGTTTCAGACTGAACTTCAAAAATAATGTTTCTGTTCAAACCAAAAATAAAAAATGAAAACTTTTGTTCCGATCATTAAAAATGGGGATGAACTTTGAATTTGGGCGTGTTTTACTTTTTTCCACGCAAAATCGGCTACCAAAAATAATCATCGGACAGGCTTGAGTGATATGTCATATTAAAGCCCTTTTAGTTAAGATTCGAACGCCATTAAAAATTTCTGCTTAATTATGCTTAAATTAGGCCGTTTACAATAGCTTTTTTATGTTTAATCTTACTTTTGTTCGAGCAAGAGCAATTTTTGGAGATTTTGAATGCCATTCTGGAACCATATTTTAAAATTTCCGAAAATTTTTTCACAGTGTCGAGAAAAATTGTTTTGAAATTTTTGACTTTTGTTCTAACTTCGAGCTAGTAAGTAAGATAGTTAGTAATTGCAATAGCTTATATAAGCTTAAATTAGGCCGTGAAATTTAAGTTTTATTCAGGTAAAGGTAGCTTTGGTTTTTTTAGCGCAATTTTGGGAATCAAAAACTTTGGGAATCACAAAAAAAAACCCGAGGGGGGCGGATTTTCAAAAAACTTCGAAAATTTTGTCGACTTTTTTTTAGGTCAGCCAAATTGATTTTCTTAGCTTTCCTAAATCACTATGAAGACACCCATTTTGACCAAACTTTCTGCGCCACAGGCAAAATTTAAAAAAAACAGGCCAAAAAAAGGCGTTTTTAGGTACTTTTTGAAAAATGTTGACCAAAAAATCGCGTTTTTTTGGCGCGCGCTCACCCCTCAAAATCTGTATATATCGGCGCCAAAGACGCCGTTAGAAAATTTTTATGGTCCATCACCAAAAATGATTATTGAAAATAGTACAAAGGGGGACTATTTGGGTCGGCAGGCGGTCGAATCCCTGAGGGGGAGGTGTCCGCCCCCTCCCTAAATCCGCCCCTGAATATGTGTAAGCTCTATTTTTTCATTTAGATTTTTTTTATCACAACATGCAGAAAAAACGACAACAATTTGAGAAATTATTTTTGTATTTTTTAAGACTGGTCGGATCATTCTGTGCTACTTGCACAGTAACCGGCTATCCTTGTTTTACTTGCAATCGTTTCTTTTAATTTTCACTTTTTCTTATTTTTGAGTTTTCTTATCAAATTTGCGTGGTCGGAACGTTCTGTGCTGTTTGCACGGCAACTGGCTATCATCGTTATTATTATGAAATCAAATCATTTACCTGGTCTTTTCTGATGTTGGTGCCAAAGAAGCGTACTCTCTCAATAGCCGCGCCTGATTGGTCAATTTTTTTGACAGCTCGTTGGTCACCTGCTTCAACGCTGCTTCATTTTTTGAGTTCAACTTGTCCAAAGCTAGTTTTGCAAGTTTCTTTTCTTTAAAAGGTTTCCCTGAAAACATCCACGCGCTTTAATGGTTTTGAAGAGTATTAACATTTTTTTGGGTTCCTACGGACGAAATCCTGCCAACAGAGAGTTTACATTTTTTTCAAAAATGGAAGATAAACGTTACCAATTGGAAAAAATTTAAAGCTCGTGTATAACCTTTGTTTGTTTTGTTTGGCTGCTTTGCTCCAAATACAGAAATCCCGTAGTCTCCAATTAGTGATTCCGGAACCGATGATTCAAACAGACTGCTAATCACACTCGGATGCACTGAAAAACCACTGACCATAATCGATGTCAACAGGTTAGATTTTCCATAACATGTATATAAATTGGTAAACTTCAAGGGTGGATCTAAGACGTTGCGAAGCCACGTTTCAAAACTTTCAAATGACATCGACATCCGTTCAAATTGACCCTATTCGAGCTCTGTGAATGACTCTATTTTGCCAATAATTTGCGCCCTGCAACAAAATTTACCTGAATAATGTACCAAAAATTCACATTTAAAAATAAAATTTAGGAGTAAAGATTTTTTTGCAACTAAAAGCAAACCAATCGATGCGTCATCAACTTCGTCCTCGTCTTTTCTGCCTCTTCTCCTGACCTCTCTTCTGATTGGGTTCAAAATTCCCGGCTGCCGTCCCCTCTCCAACCCATTTTCTAATCTGTTCATACACTCTTCGGCCAAACGAGACTGCTCTGCTAACTGATCACAAGCCTGCTTGAGAGTTGAAGATGATTTGGATGAATCATTTTTGGTAGATTGAAATAGTTGGTTACTCTGATTCAAACGATTGACGGCTAAAATAAAGCAACCAAGTTAAAATATGATTATAATCAAGTTCAGAACACTATCGCAATGAATCATTAAGTTGAAACATCGGTCCAGAAAAGAAAGTTTGAGGCTGGGAGAGGCGGGGGGAGGGGGGGGGGTTGGGATGGGGCGGGAGCGTGTGTTAGTGCGCTGAAAAAAGCGATCTGTTGGTCTAAACTTTCCATGTTATAAGACTTAAGATTTTTGCAGAAAATTCTAATAATGGTCCTTCTAGGGTGTCGGTAAAGCTAGCAAAAAATGGTGTAACCCAGTGGCGGAGCTAGGTTTTCTCGAGGGGTGGATTTTTTTCTTCAACCCCCCTCCTCCCCGCGCTCTATCTACATCCACGCCTAGGTTGACCTAAAAAGACCGACCTAACAAAAGGCTGACAACATTTTGCGAACCCCCTACCCCCTTTAAGAAAACTTAAAATATATCAAGCTACCTTTGACCACTTGGTTTCCGAGAGCGAGTAGTCCATTTCGGAAGAGAGCATCACTAGACTTGTCTGCAATCTCATTGGACACGAGGCACAATCCCGCCAGTCTCTGAGTCAGTCGAGCCAGTAATTCGTCAGAGTCTAGGGAAATTTGCTTCCTCGAGCAAACTGTTCGGAGGAAGGTAAAGTCGCGGCGACACACTTTAGCTAAATAAATTTCTAACATAAATCAATATTGATATCATATATTAATACGTGCTATATTTTAAAGTCGAAATAAATTCCAAAGTTTTTTGCTTAGTCGTGAACAATTAGTGGACACAAACTTTTACACGAACAATATCAGCACTAATTAATAGCTGATAGTTGGACACTAACATTGTCAAAGATGATTCCAGCAGTTTGACATTAGCTATAAAACAACGATTTAAACACCCGGCGATGTTATATTACCAATTTTTTCGACCAGAAACACTCTTCCCACTAAATCGTGCAAATACTTCTTCACATTCACACAATTCAATTCCCAACTCCTTCTGCAGAGAGAAAGTGATGACGTCAGTTGACCCTTATTGACCTCTGCGGACTGCGTTCCGGGTGACAGGGCATGCAACATGGCCTCGGATTCGAGGTCTAAAGCACACTGTTGCAATGCGAAAAGAGACTCGGCGATGATCTGGCTGTCTAAAACAAAATTCATTTTTTTCCAGTTTGTTATAATGCAATTAATGTTTCTTAATTCCGTTTAGGCCAAAAAAAAACGAAGCAGCAATATAAAATGATCAATTATTTATAATTTGTTTAAATTCTAGAATAACTAAAAGCAAAACTCGGCTCATATTAAAGAAAAACAGCGAATCAAGTTTTTGATAAAAACTTTAGCACTTTCTGGCGTTTTTTTCCAAACTTTCAAAAGTGTATTTTTTTCTATAAACACTGTAAACGTCAAGAATTCAAGTAGATTTGTGACCTTCAGTGTAAGGAAATGCAGCCAATGTCAAAGACGCTGCGTGGGTAATTGTTTTGTTCACTATTCTGAACTCGTTCATAGTTTTCTGTAGCTCGTCAGTACACTGTTCCTCCGACAGACCAGGTGTCTAAAAACAAAAAAAAACACTAAGAACTAAAGGCTGTTGAAATTTAAAAAGTTGTTTCATCTTTTAAGATTAAATCACCTTAGACCTTTATGGGAAACCCCTCACAACAAATTTGTCAACTAACCAACTTGTTCATGCCATTTGTTTTCTACAGACAAGAGCCAAAAAAAAATTCGAAAAAGCGGTTATTTAGTTTTGCAGCCTGTAAAGGTTGAGCGGTAATTCATTTGTAGCCTTAGCCAGAAGAGCATGGAGAAAAGTTGTTCTCTAAAAAAGCGTTTTGAAATCGATATATTTGATACTGTATGTGCTCCATCTTTCTACTTCAGAGTAATTTTAATTCGTAAAATCAGATTTATGATCTGAAAACATAAATTGAGATCTGATTTTTTCTAAACTAAGATTGACTATAATTATGATCTTACTTGGGATAAATGATTTGCCATGTCTTGCAGCTGTTTTGACGGTACAGAGAAGTTTACGAATCCATCGATTAAGTTTTCGACCGTGACTTGTTTCACCAACTCATTCAGTTGCCCCAAATTCGAAATCATCTCTTCACAGGCCAACATGAAAACCTCTCTAAAATTACAACTCACGGAGAATATCTTTTGATTACGAGCCAAAAATAGGTTCTCCTTTAGCTTTATAAATATACTTAAAACAGTCATTCTTACATAAGAAAAAGTTGAAATACCTTTCTTGCGAGGAGTTTTCAGCTAAAATGCGAGCATTTTCCACGTTTTTGACGTTTTCCAGAAGCTAAAATTATCAAGTCAGTTAATAATTAGAAAAAAAAACTTTAAAAACAATTATTTTAAAAAAAGATTATAAAAGAACAATATTTTCCTTATTGTAAAAATCGCAGTTTGAGATTGAACAAAAAAGAGAAAAGTATCTATTGCTTTTGTAATTTTTTTTTCAAAACATTCTTCTTGCGATTGAAACCAATGTCTATTTTCTACCTGTGTTGACGTTTGCATCAAGTTGGTTTTCGTTTCAACATCATATATAGTGTATGCCATCATCATAACATGTCTCAGAGCAGCTTCTACATCAATTGAAAGATTTCCAAGAAAATCGAAGCGTTTTTCAGTCTGTAACACGTCCAGCATTTGTTGCATTACGGTGAAAAAATGAGCTTCCGTTTGCATAGTTTGTTCAATATTTGGACTTTGTTGAATCAGTTCTAAAACTTTCCCCATTGCTTGTAAAGTTCGATTGACAGCAAATTCTCTGCCTTCTAGCTTTTTTGAAGTTTCATGGTTCGAACTTGGATTAAAACTATCTCTGACAGCCGTTTCGAGCATTTTAACAGTCTGTTTAAGCAGCTTCAATGCTTGTTCGAGAGTTGATTTCATCTGGAAGTCAATCATTTCTTGAACTCTGCTGGATACCAGTTGCACAAAGACCTCGTTTGCTTCTGAGAAGTTCTAAAATCAGAGAATTCGATTTAAAAGCTTGTTTTTTTTTCAAAAATTTTTCTTGTGTTTTTGTTTTTTTTCGAATATCTACACAAAAAATAAGGGTATTACTGTATTATTCAATGTATCAATGCAGAGAAAAGGACACTGATAGAACTGATTGGTTTGGTTAATACAATTGTGACCACTTTAGCCGAATTCTAACGAGGCTGAATTTTGAGCAGATATGAAAGTGGTCAATTTTTTTTGGTCTGCCATTTCTTCTGTATTTTTTTGTGATCTGCGCCCTGTTTGCGAAAAAATTTTAAATAGTTATCCAAACATTCTATATTTTTGCCCAATTTGGCTTATTTACAAGTGGACATAAAATTTTGAGCAAAACAATTTAAGACGGCGCTGAAACTTGATTGGCTAATTTTAGCTAATCAGATTGAAGCAAAATAGTTTCAAAGAACTAAAACCCAAAGATGAGTGATCTGAGCTGAAAATGCTTGATGAAAATAATTATAATTGTTGTTTATGCGATTCGTAGAGGATCTATGAGAGGCTTTGCAGCCTGTCTAAGCAACGTCACTTCTCCTATTTTCCCACAGTCCAGAGTCATTTTGTTGAGCGTAGCTCTTTTTTTGCGACTCAAGGTCGTTGTTTTGCGTCTAGAACTTTCACGTGGTACCACTATTGCAGCCGAAATTGGTCAGGCTGTGGTAGACCTGAAGCTAGAGGCCAAGTGAGAGCTATCGTTGACGTGGCAGGGGATCAATTTCACGATCTGATGATGTCACCTTGTTGTTAGTCCAAGTTTGTCACTATGTATTTCACGCGGAAGTTTTTAAAAGCAATTTAGGACAGCTTGGAAAACAATTTTAGCCAATTAAAAAAGTAGATTACTTTACTTTCTGATCTCGCAGATTGGGAAAGAACTATGGCGTAGAATCCAATTTTTCAACCTTTTTCCAGCCAATTTTGACCTCAAGAAAAACTCGTAGGGGTAAAAATTGTTTCATATTAAAACCCTGCTGGTCATTGTTTATGGATTTTTTGAAAAAAAACGAACAATTTTCTCCGTGTAAAGAGAAAAAGGCCGTAAAAATTTAGTTTTTTTTTGGCTAAAGCTGACAAAAATTTCATTAGAGGCTTACCTTCAAACTGAACAATTTCAAAATTATTCTAGCTATTAGTTACTACCCAGTTGTGCATTTTTCTACCTAATTAATTCGCCCTTTTCTGAAAAAAAAATTAAAGAATTTTCGGACAAAAAAAAAGAAAAAAATTGAATAGGTTTTTTAATTTTTCAAGTTTCTTTAGTTACCCTATTGATTTATTTTTTCAATCAGTGTTTAGACCAATTTGTGCTATCAGCAATCGGCAGTCCTTGTCTTAAACTAAATGCAGTGTCTTGCAAAAATATTTAACTCAGCCCGACTTTACCGTTAAATATTTTTTGAGATTTTTTACCCAGAAGAGTTAGAAGTGGCCAATATAGGAGCTGCTCAGCTCTCTCGAAGTTACGATTCAAATTCAAAAGTCTGAGCACTGTGAGCTGAGTACTAAAAAATGGGTTGTTGAGTTAGAGGATAAAACCAGAAATTTGAAGCTGAACACAAATAGTTGTGGCAACCTTCGCGAATCATATTTTTATAGTTTTTTGAATCATTGAATTTATATAAAATTGTCTGACAAGAGCAATTGGATCAATTGAGCAATCTCCCCCCCATTCTCGCGTGGGGGGGAGATAGCTCAATAGGTACTTGAGACATGTTTATAACCACTTGAAAATAGTTTGAATGACATGAATTCATAAAGCATATTTTCCAACGACTGTGGAAAGCCAATATTTACGATAAAAAAGCTCTAAAGCTTCATTTAGATTGAAAAAAGAATCAATAAAACAGGCATAAAAAGCGACTTTTTTCTATTTTAAAATGACAAAAAGTTTTTGCGTACAATATTAAGGTGCTGCGGAGAACCGTTTTTGCTATTCAGATACAAGGCTAGAGCACCAACCCTGGTAAATCGCTTTCTTCGATGAGGCTATGGTCGCCTAAACAAAATTTTGCAAAAAAAAAAAAAAAAAATTTTTTCATAAATTTCGATTTTTTTTTCAAAATTTTTCTCGATACTCAGTTAAGACAAACTTCCGTCGGTCAATTGATTGCGTGCTATAAACACACCATCCATCTACTAGCGTTTGCTGACGTCTTTTTGTAGAGTTTATTCATTTTTGCTGGGGGGGAGATAGCTCAATTGGTCAATACGGGGGGGAGATTGCTCAATTGATCCGAGCAATTTTCTATTCTTTGAAAATGTCTGATACCAGAGATCTTGTTACTATATTTCCAAGTTCAATTTACCTGAAGTGCAGACATGGCTTCACTCGAATTCTCCTCTGTCTCCAGGAGCACAGCTTTTTCCATGCACCACTCGGCACTGCGAAGAACCTTCTGCTCGTCCGCTCTCTCCACCGCCACGACCAACTAAAATGCAAAAAATAATTTAAATGACGGTTAAAACTATTATATGAAAAGGCTCTTCTAAAGGACGCCTCCCATATATCAAAAGCTAAGCCTGAGCTAATATTGTACGAAGTTATTAACTTCCCCTTTTTAAAATATGCGATAGATGGGTCTAAGTAGCAGGTTTATAAGTAAGATTCCAAGTGAAAAGCGCCTTAAAATCATTTTTAACTGACATTTATTTTTCAAAAAATTACAAAAGCCAACCATACATCAACTTTTAAATGTTTTTGCGAATGATTTTGGAGCATTTTTTTGAGAAATGTTTAAGTTAGGACCTCAAATTAATGCCGACTTGGGGAATTTTTAGTTTGATTGTCGTTTGCGAAGTCATTTTCTGAATATTGTAAGGAATAAATTCTGATGCTTATGAAAAACTCAAAATATATATGTGAAATATTTAGAGAAGTCAAAAATTAAAAAAAAAATTGACGGAAACTTGAAATAATTTTTATTCAGATCATTTCACACACTGTTCTAGAATGATCTAGAACAACTTTCAGTATAAATAGTCGGCTGAAGTTAAGTAGAAACATTTGAAACCGTCTTCTTAATAACGCATAAGTAAACATTCGCAACTCATAAAACAATGTAAGTATTTTAGATCCTAAGTTTATCTTATGTTTGAAATTTTGAGTAGAAATTTTTTCAATGCTTTAACTTATATATACATTTTTTTCTTTTTTATTGTTTTTTAGATGACCGGCTCCAATGTGATTGTCAGGTACTTGTACATACTGCTGGTGTTATGCTGCTTGTTTTCTATAGTCTCCGCCGCTAACATGGCTTGGGATTTTCTTCCTGACAAAACCACACCCAAGCGAAAAAATTACCGACTCTGAAAGGAATCACCATCCGGAAACAAATGGCAGTTGAAAACCATCAGTTGGCAGCTGGCAGTTTTGTTCTTGGGTTTAAATGAAAACTTGTGGTGTCTATATTGAATTATAGTTTCTTTCTGAATATGTGAACTCTAAATAGATTCAATTTATGTTCAAATGGTGATGTAATGAAAACTCTTTTATCTCGCTTCTTTTTCTAAGTCGCACATTTTGAATTTCCTTTTTTTCTAATTACATGCAAACTTTTTGAAATACATTTGCAATACTCCTCTTTGGTATCATTTTAAGACCTTCCATTTTGTCTTACTAACGGTGTAAATTTGATATTCACTGGATATTCATTTTAAAGAAGCGAACAGCCAAAAAACTCAATTTTCTGTTCGATGATTTGTTCAAAGAGTACCTAAATGGGCATTTGTGGTCTTTTTAAGGGCCAATGAACAAGTCATGGCAACATTTTTTCAACTCTATTATCAAGTTTTTTGTTTTAATTTTTTTGCGGTCTAGTTTGATTTTTTTGATGTCTATTCGAAGACTTATTTTTTGAATTTGTGGTTTTATTAAAAAAGTATATGGTAAAATATGTGAAAATTCAAAGAGCTATTAGATGATAAAAAGAATTTTACAAATATACTTCGTTGCTGATAATATTTCGAATTGCATAAGCTTTTTTCTTTCTTCGCTTAATCGAGAAAAAGTTCAAACTGTTATCAGCCTTATTGCAGACGTTAAAAGCTGATTGTTTCCTACAAAAAACTTTGGTAGATTCTCGAACCCAATATCGGTACCTTCAAAGCAGCTCAATACATTTTTCTGGGTCTTCGAACTTGAATTATTAGAAAAATACATTTGAGAACAGCAGTCATTGACATACTTACACAAGTTTACAGCGGGGATTAAACTAACGGGCGATAACGCCCCTAGAAAACTCGCCTCATTAACGAAGACATGTACCATTTGAGGTTAGGAGCAAAAAAGAGAAAATAAAACCAGGAAGCGCGAAATCATTCCACATCAAACAATTGACGGAGGGAGCTCAAAATTACGTGATCCAAAATCAATTAAGAGTATTTTGAACTCCCAAATTCAGAAGGGTCGATGTAAGAATTGTAATATCTGACGAAAATAGTGATACAAAAGGTAATTAAAATAAGATTTTTTTCAGTAAAAAATTTTCCAAACAGATAAAAGACACAACATATACAAATTATTGTAATTAGTTCTAAGTTTTATTATTAGACATTTTGCTCTGAAGTAGTTATTTTGAATTAATTAAGCATTTAGTTATTTTGAATTAAAACTTCAACCGACAATCTTAAAATTACATATTTCCAAAAGTGTCTTCGATGTGAATACGTTCGTCTTTTGAAATTTTTTGGCTATGGTGTCACAAAAAACTGCATTTCAATCATGATTTCTCAAAAGATTGCCAGAATTAGTCGGCAAAACTAATTGTATTACGGCTTCAAGAAATATGAATAGTTTTTTATAAAACTATTTCCTGAAAAGTCTGAAGAATAAAGAAAGATGGCAAGGATTTCCCCGCTTATGATATTGGCGACGGATGGAACAAGCATTTTTACTGAACGATATAAAAATGAAATAAAAAAACTGCCGAATCAAATTTGAGTAAAAAACTAGACCTCCCCGAGCTACCGAGACCTGGTTTTACTGCTTTTTTTATTGAGTTTTGTATAGACCTAGTTCTTGTGACGTTTATCTGCAGCAGCTTAGATAGCATAGATCTTTATCAATAATCTGCCGAACCAAATACTGATTTTTGAAACTGTTTGTAGAAATTTTTTTATTGGCCTAACATCAAAACAGGCAAAAAAAATCAGTTTTTTTTGTTTTTTTTTGTTACTTTATTTTAGCTGAAACTGTTCTTCTAATGAAAATCTCTTGATCGCTCTGCCTCATAAAGGTGGAAAAAATGCAAGCTGATCACGAAATTGCGCTATACGTTATTGTAATTGGGTTTTAAGAGAAATATTGCCATATTCAAGCACAATCACAATTCACACTTCGTTTTTCTTTTTGAGAACGACTCAAGGAATAGCCTTTCGCAGTCAAGTGTAGCACAAAAATAAAGTTTTTAAAACAAAAAAAATGGTAACTGAAGTCAAAAATGAAAGATTTCAGATATGGAATTTTACTAAATTTTCTTGCAATTTTTTTTGTCTTAATTGATCAATCGAAAAAAACGCCCAAGTAACAAGCTGTGTCTTCAATAATTGCTCAGAACAAATAGTTTTTTGTCAATTTCTAAAATTATCTAATTTTGATTGCCGTGTCTTCCCTGGTCTTGCTAAATTTGAACTAAAAATGTTTCTGAAATCTGGAAAAATAATTAAGAAAGATGAATTATAAGAATAATTACGGATCTATTTAACAATTACACCCTTTTCAAGAAGGGGGATTTTTTTGTAGATTAAATTGTGGAAATTCGATCGGAATCCAGCAAAAATTCGATTTTTAAACACAACGTTCTGGTGCTAATTGACAGCTTTTGTTTGTAGGATGTTGGTTTTTTAGTAGATTCCACAGTTGGGGCGGCTATAATTGGGACGGTTTGGGGGACAGAAGACTCCCCTTTGGCAATCGAACCCCTCACCCGTTAAAGAGTACCCCTTCGGTATTTTTTTTGATAATCTAAATTGGCCGACCAACACTAACCAAAAAGTGACAAACCCGTTTTTTGACATATTTTTTTACAATTCGCTCAGGAGTAGTCTGAATTCCTCTCAAATTCCGAAAGCTTGATTTCAAAATTGTAAAATTTCACTATAAATTTGTAGAAACTCAAACAAAGGTTTTTTTAAAGTGAAAATATGCCATAAGAGTTAAAAAAAACAATTAAAATAGTTATTCTATTTAACTTTTAATAATAATATTAGTTTTTTGCTCCGCAGTATTTCTCAGTTGTTTCAAGTTAAATAAATTTCAAATGAAGCGGAAACGGCATGTTAGAAATTTCAACAAACAATCGGATAATTATTTTTTTTCAGAGGTGACTTCGATGTAAAAAAACGCTTAATTTTGAAGTTTTGAGCTGGGACAGATTTTTGGCTATATTATCATAAAGAAAACAGAACTTTAATCAAAGTTTCTCATAAGAGTGCCATTAAATACTGGTCAAAAGAATTTTTACCACTTAAAGAGATAAAAAAAGTGTTTTATAAAACTAATTCCTAAGATTTGTGAAGTATGAAGTTATGAGGCAAAAATGTTTTCATGTTATGAAAGTCACGACGAATTAAGCAAGCGTTTTACCATAACAAAAAAGTACATCAAAAAACAAAAATACTTTCTTAGTTGCTTTAAAAAAATCAATTTTCAAGCTAGAAATGATGTGAAAATGCAGTAAAAACAACGTAAACACAAATTTGAGTAGAAAACGAGACTTCTTGAGCTATCGAAGCTTGGTTTTATTGTTTTCAATCAAGTTTTGTAACTAGGTTCAAATCTTGTGACAGATATCTGCAGCGGTTTAGATAGCATAAATTTTATCAATAAATTGCCGAACCAAATAATGATTTTTGAAACTGATTAAATAAAAGTTTTTATTGGCTGAACATCAAATTAAGCAAAAAACTTTCAGTTTTTGCACTTTTTTGTTATTCTACTAGCTTAAACCGTTTTTTCATGAAAATGTGGTGATCGCTGTGCCTCAAAAATTGCGCAAATTCTAAAGTTGGAAGCACATGACATTTTTAGGTACCTTAAGGTAATTACCAAACTAAAATATGCGCTATACGTTATTGTATTTGGGTTTGAAGATAATTATTGTCACTTTCACACATAGCGACTCTGCACAAAAACTCCCGAAAATGAGAAAAAACTATGTACTTCATTTTTTGCTTTGAAAACTATTCAAAGGATGGTTTTTGCAGTCACAAGCTGCACCGAAGGAAAGTTTTTTAAGAAAACAATTAGTAAATTTTAAAAGCAATTGGAGTCAAAATTGAAAAGTATCCGATACGATATTCCTCAAAAACTCTTTAAGTTTGTTTGTGTTTACTGATCGTTTGGGAAAAAAACGCCTGATTCACAAGTTGCGACCTCAAAAATTCAGACCAATTAGTTTTTTATCAATTTCTACAATTATCTGATTGTGGTTGTTGTGCCGGCCTGGTCTTGCTAAATTTTGAACAAAAAGTTTCTGATATCTGGAAAAACATTTAAGACAGCTGGGTTATAAAAATAATTACGAATCTACTTGAAAATCACTCCCTTTTCAAGAAAGTGGGATTTTTTTTAGTAGATTAAATTAGTAGAATAATCGATCAATCGGAATGCAGCAGAAATTCGACTTTTAGATACAACGTTCTAGTGCTAATTTACTGCTTGAGTTTGTAGGGTGGCAAGTTTTCAGTAGATACCACAGTTGTGGCGGATAAAGGTGGGGATCAAACGACTCCCCTTAGGGATTCGACCCCCTCACCCAACAAAGGGTCCCTCTTTGGTGTCTTTTTATGACATTTATTTCGGGCCGACTAACCATAAATTTCTGAAAGCTAACCTATTCTAATTTTGAAGGTCAGTTTTTCCAAAAGGTGTGCAAAAACGGCCTTTTTGTCCTTGTATTTTTAAAATTGCCTGCATCGCAAAAATTTTGTCAAGTTAGTGTCCTAATAGTACACTGAGAGTACAAATAGTACAAAGATATTCAATTTTTTCGAAAAACTTTTCATATCCGCCCCTGAATCACAAAAAGGGGTAATTGCTAAGCAGATCCCCAATTATAAAAACCACGGTCGCTCAATTCAAGAAAATTAGCTTTAATTCATTTAACCATAGATTAACTCAGGTGTGTTTAATTGAAGTCTTTCTTAATCGCGATTTGATATATTTTGAGCTTGCATTGATCAGCTGAGCAGTAAACAGTATATTTGTGAAACGTGCTCGGTTAACAGCAGTGTGTCGTTTAAATACACCAATTTGATACTGTGTTTAAAAAACAGCAAACATTCCCTTGGATTTTCATAAACAGCCAAATCACAACAGATATCGCACGACTGTGAGCCATATTTCCATCAAAGCAATCGATTATTTTTTACAAGAACGCATCACTTCAATAATCTATAACTACAAACTTAAAAAGTTTAAATAAGAAACGCAAATCGTGACAGCCGCACAGTCTTGTCTTCGAAACCTTTAGATCCTGCCTTCAGTTTAAATCTGATCTGAAGCTATTACCTAATCCTGCGCACCATTTTAAAAAAAATCGTATCAATTTTAATTTGCGGTTCGAAATTCGTTGATACTTCGAAATAGCAAACTTTGATTAACTTTGAGAAGTGAACAGATTGTGAACAAGAGGAACTATGAGTGGAAGGGAAGCAGGGGATGCCATGGCGCAGAACAGGTGGAAGGAGACGTGCACGAAGGAGATCATGATGAGGCTTCAGTGGAAGGAACAGTACGGGTCAGAGTTCAAACGCAGGTAAAAAATCACCTAAATGTAAACTACAATATAATATTTAAGCACTACAATTTAGAAACATAATATAAAACTGCAAAAAACAGTTATTTGCACGCAATAAAAACGATATAAACTTCACAAAAAAAAAACAAAAAAACAAACAAAAAAGATCATGGATAGCCGGGGACAGTAGGGAGCGACAGCTGCCTCACATACAACTTCAGGAACTAGTTATAATAACAGATTCATTAACGTGCAGAATAAAATTTTTGACTCCTCGAGGAAGTTATTACGGAGTAGTCTACGCTCTAAGTTTGTCTGAATAGCTAAAAACCCAAACTAGTTTTTGCGACATTTTCTAGAAGTTTTTTTTGGGAATCCGAATCAAGACTTCAAAATATGACAACATACTTGACTCCCTTTACAAGCTTCCCTTGTTGGTTCTGAACTCGGCCTAAGAACCAACCTACGCCATAGTTTTTTCCAGTTAATTACAGTGACGTGATCGTAACAAAAAGATCAAAATCTAGCCACAAAAAGTTGGCATAGACAAAATTGGAAACATTTAAAAAACGGTTAATTAAAAATGTTTAATCGGACTGAAATAGCGTTTCTATTGATATCTGGAAAACTTCATTGTCCAAAATTGTTGATCAGTAAAACGACAGGCCATTAGGACGACAAATAAGCGTTATTACATGTAAATGAGCAGTTCGATTTTAAGCGGTTTAAAGTTATCAGAAATACAATGAGGAGAATTGGGTGTAGCGTCGCCTCAAAGTCCCATCACAAACAGTTTTCGTCTTAACGACTGTCGTCTTTTTTGCCGGTCACCTTTTGAATTGTTTTACAGTTGAAAGGCAACTGTTTTTTAAAAAATTTTTTTATCACAGCTACTTTTCAGAGAGGAGGAAGAGGATAAGGCAGCAGAAGCCGCTCTTCAGGCGAAAAATGATAGCAGGAAAAAGGCACAGCTGGACGAGGAGAAAGAGAAGGACAAAACAACAAACAAGGTATAGAAGTGTTGAAACAAGAGAAGGCGATGCCTTTGTTTAAGTAGCACAGAATGTTCCGACCAGTTTAAATTAAAAATACAAAGAAAACACTAATTTTTGTTTTTTTTTCTCGATTTTTACTGTTCCGGCCACTGAAAGAGAGGAGTAGCTTTACTGTTCCTTTTTGGAGTAAAAAAATAATTTGAATGTTCCTAATATACAACGACGATCGAAAAAGCATGCGTTTTAGGCTTTCTTTTATATCTTTTCATCACACTACGTACAAAAAACGAGTCAAATGGGGAGAATAAACGTTTAGTTTTTTTAATACTGGGATAGTTTTCTGGAAGTTTGAAATAAACTTTCATGCCCCGTTTTTCCGACACTGAGCATTTTGTTTTGAGATATTTGTTTTTTTTTTAGAAATCCAAATTAACGCGAATCAGCTTCAGGCCATTTCTTTATTTTTCAGTCATCATATTTCGAGCTCAGCTTAAAAAGGCTATTATTTTCCGGCTTCCTGCCAAGCGAACGCCAAATAAGCAAGCCAATGACAATCAATTACCAGCAAGAGGATTGCTCAACTTTTTTAGAACAGAGATTTCACAAGACTCTAACAAACCTGTAACATTATTCTTAGAAACATTCGGACTTCATAGTTGAAACTAAAAAATTCTATGAATTTGAAAATACCGATTGGCTAATTAGCGTTGACTTACGTCTGGACCTGAACAAAACAACTACAATGAATACAATCTCACGGGAAAATTGGAAAAACTCGGATTGGAAAATTGGAAAAAATTGGATGATGATATAAAACAATTCATTTAGCTCAGAAATCCAATGACGATCCCCAACAGGGATAGCCGGTTATATTGCGAGTAGCACAGAATGAGCCGATCTTAGTCTTTAAAAAGCTACATATATTTTTTTTCAATTTAGTGTAATTTTTCTCTGCGTGGTGTAATAAAAGGATCTGATCTACAGCTATATTTTTGGCATTTTTGAAATTCATAGTAGTATAGGCAAACATGAAAACAACTGTTGAAGAAATAAGTTCAAAAGAAACAAATTGTTCATTTAAAAATATAAAATAAAAAAATAAATAAATTATTTTTTTATAGAATCTTATTGAACTTTCGAAGTTTTTGATTCCCAAAATGGCATTGAAAACTACAAAAACCAACTCTACTCGAGTAACAGTAAAATTAAGCATGAATGAACTGTTGTAAACGGCCTCAATTAAGCACAAATAAGTTTCTCGCTCGAATTTAGACGAAAAATGAAAAAAAGCCAAACTGGTTCTTCAGGACACGGGAGATTTTTTTTAAAAATTTTTAATGTTTTTCGAATAACGATTACGACTGAAAGATTTTTAATATGATATATTACCCAATATTTATTTGTGCAGCTAATTTTACCTAAGTAACAAAAAAGAAATAAAAAGAAAAAAATTAAAACACACCCGAATTCAAAATTCTTCCCCATTTTTCAAATGGTCGGAACAACTTAAATATAATTATTTATTTTTTGATAGTTTTTTATATACCAATATACAATAAACTAGATCAAACACGAGTAAACTGGTTGTCAGTTTTTTTTTTCATTTTTACTCAAATTGTTTTCAATTTTATTGTTCAGGTCGCGATACCTTTTTCTGAACTTTTTTAGCTAATGCATTCAATTTTTTTCAGGTGGTTACCTTTTTGTAAGCACAGTTCTTCTACAAACTTGTGAGTAGTTTCAGGATACTTGGAAATGAACCAATAAAGCCGATTGAGCGCGAAGCGCCTTCATTCGAAAGCGTTCATAGTTTAACGATACTACGTTTCATCAATTTTGCGGTTCCATAAGGCGGTAGTAAACATAACTAATCGGTGTGAGGCAAGAATTTTTATATAGTTTTTTGTCGAAATTCGTACAGAGATCACCAATTTTTCTTTTTTTTACCGCATTGACCGATTGATTCTCACAATTTCGCTGGATTTTATTCACAATTTCTTCAAACAATAGGCAAATATTTTCTTGGCCTAAATCTGAAAAATGAACGTGCTCAAATACAAGGTGCTCTCAGCTTACCATAAAACGGAGGTTTCTACAACTGAGATTATGGCAGAGTCAGCAAAAGTTATCAAAACAGTCCAATACAAAACAATATTCAAATAAGGTTTAACATCAAAAAATTACAGTGCTTTTTGTTGAGATATGTTTTATTTTCATTTTCACATTTTGAAAAAAAAACATCAATGCAAGGAAAACATTGGAACCAAATTCACCAAAAAAATTGATAGCTTAAGACTAACTTACAAATGAAATTACCCGCAAAAAACACCAAGTAGTTGTTGAAGAACGCCTTCCTTTCAAAAATGACAGAACAAGGAGAAAAACAACAGGAACTCTATTTTTAAGTGTGTTAAGAACAAATTAAGAACTACTTAGTAAATGGGGAGTTTTGTTGATTTAAGTTACAAATGGGGATTATGAAACTGGAAATGATGACAAAAACCAGTTCAAATTGAATAGTTTGTTTAGGAGAGTAATATTATACAGACAGGTAAACAATAAACCGCATGTACAAATCAAACCCACCAAGGATCAAGCAAAAAGCTATGAAGCTTATCGAGGCATGACCCTGAAAAAACCTATGACAGAAGTTGCGAGATAATATCCGACTTGATGATTCAAAAAAATAAATCTAGAAGATCTCCATTATCTTTAAGAAACAATGAAAACAATTTTTTGAAATACCCATTTAGTTGATGCTCAGTTAATTGGTTTAGGTTATCTGGTATCAGCTCGTTTGATTTCAAAAAATTATAACATTTAGGAGACACATTTTTCCATGAACGCTGCATTATTTGTGTTCTAGTTTTGATGCTTGGTAAAGTTTTTGTCAGTTACAAATAGGATAGGCTTTTGTTTCAGTTTTTCTTAACCTGAAGCACTACTGGAGGCAACTTTTCTTTGTTCTAGGGTAAATTACCAGCTGAGCCCCTTTTGGACGACTCTGAACTGCCCCTATTCGAGATGTACCCTGTCACTCCGGCTGTGACTGCCCGTCTGTATGATGGCTTCTCAAAGGAGGGCAAAGGACGAGCAAATTACCTCACTACACGCAAAGCCAAGGTAAAGGTCTTCAAAAAAAGATATGGTCAAATATTTAGGAAAATTAGATGTGCAGTAAAATGATGTCAAAAAGAATCAACTCTTCTATTCGGGCGGATGCTTTTTAGTTAGTGAAAAGATAGAGCAAAAATCTGAAATAAAATATGAAAAAAGGAGTTACATGTTCGCGTTTTGTTCTGCCAAACTTCAGTGGTCATATTGTGTTTTAACTTTCATTTTCGGTGGCAACATACTTGTCTGCTTTCATAATTATTAATGATCAGTTGCATGTTTTCTTTTGGTCATTTAGACATTTGCCGTCTAACGACTCAATACGAAATTACGAAACACTAGCTATATAATCTCTTTTGCAGGGACCCGAACGTAAGTTCCCCTACCCGGTCACCGAGGCCCAAGAAGTCGGTTGGAAGATGGAAGAGCGAGAGACATTCGGAAAGCCACAACACGGCCGAAGTCAGACCATCCGAACCTTCTACCGAGACACCGGGGTGTTCTACTCGGATGGACAGCTTCTCCCTAGAAACAGCTAGACTATGAGTTTGATAATCTCGGGATAACCTATCAACGATAACTAACACCTGAACTTGAAATTAAATTGTTTAAAAATTGATTATCATGTCTCTGAATAGATTCCTGTCAACCACGATATTGATATCCTACAGGTCTTGTTACAGCGCAGAAAAACAAAGAACGCAGAAAAATGGCGTAATTTTGAAAAGTTCTACGTTTTCCGTGGCATAGGAAAATCTGTTTCAAAAAAAATTTGTTAAGGGGGATTGCAAAATTATTTCAATTTTCTGCACAGTGGTAATTTAAAAGCCCGCTTACCATTATTTTTTTTGTTGGGCGAGCAGAGCTAGCATAAATTATTGGCCGCTGGTTTTTTAGTTGGATAGCATGGCTATTATTTTTTCCCTTTTGAGGTTAATGCAGATGAAGAGTAGTCAAATTAACAAATCAAAAAATATAGCTCCTCTTATTTCAAATTAACCATAACCAACTCTTCACAATTCCTTTTTCGGTCTTATATTGCTTTGCATAATAATTTTTTGCATCAGTTACTGACGTTTTTTTAGTTCAGATGAAGATATCAAAAATTAATGAAGTTTTATGGCTTCTCAACAAAGATAATTTTGTAGGATTTTTTTGAATCAAAATATGAAGTGAACGTTGAAATTTGTAATTTACTGCTTGAGCTCCCTTCGAGTTAGAGAACCGTAATTTATGCTAATAAACACAAATGATTACTGACCGCAAACAAAATAAAAACAAAATTCAGCAAACAATTCGTTGAGCAAAGAATAGCAATATTTCAATTAAATTATATATTTGTTTTCAGCAACGTGACATCTTTATTTCAGTTG